TTCAGTGGTGGTTGTCGCTGAGCTGTAATGTTTATCAGTGCAACAATGGTTATTTTGACAGAGCTTCTAATGATCATTAAGATGTCAGTGGTAGTTGTGGCTGAGCTGTAATGTTTATCATTGTATCTATCGTTATTTTGACAGAGCTTCTAATGATCATTAAGATTTCAGTGGTGGTTATCGCTGAGCTGTAATGTTTATCAGTATATCAATGGTTATTTTGACAGAGCTTCTAATGATCATTAAGATTTCAGTGGTAGTTGTGGCTGAGCTGTAATGTTTATCATTGTATCTATCGTTATTTTGACAGAGCTTCTAATGATCATTAAGATTTCAGTGGTGGTTATCGCTGAGCTGTAATGTTTATCAGTATATCAATGGTTATTTTGACAGAGCTTCTAATGATCATTAAGATTTCAGTGGTGGTTATCGCTGAGCTGTAATGTTTATCAGTATATCAATGGTTATTTTGACAGAACTTAATGATCATTAACTCTTTGAGCCCCAGGGGGTTGGGCGTCAGAGGCCCAAGGGGTAGTGAAGAAAGATGTAAAATCAGCGCATCTTGCGTTTATTGGGCCTCTAGGCGGGATCCTATGAACGTCTGATGCGTTCCTTGGGACTCAAAGAGTTAAGATGTCAGTGGTGGTTGTCGCTGAGCTGTAATGTTTATCAGTGTAACAATGGTTATTTTGACAGAACTTCTAGTGATCATTAAGATGTCAGTAGTGGTTTTAACTGAGCTCTAACGTTCATTAATTATCAATGGCTATTTTCTCAGAGTATCTAAAGTCCATTATTATGGCACATATTATTTTAACAAAGGATCTAAAGTTAGTATGTCAGTGGTTATTTTGACAGAGCAACTAACGTTCGTTGATATCTCACGGGTTATTCGAAGATCATCTAACGTTATTGAATACGTCAGTAATTAGTTTATCAGTGTACTAAAAGTTATTTTGGAGCTGCGGAAGAACGAACTAACGGACGAACAAACTTTATTTTCAAAAGGTCACAAATTGGGCACGCATATCCGTCTTACACCCTGTCCTCTCAAACACCCATCTTTCACAAAACGATTGCATTTTATCCATAAATCATGATATGTTCATGTAACAATGTGCATATGAAAATAAGAACAGTAAAAAGCTCCAAAGCATGGATGGTAAAATACATGCACACGCACACACACTCTCTCTCTCTCTCTCTCTCTCTCTCTCTCTCTCTCTCTCTCTCTCTCTCTCTCTCACTCACTCATACATACATAAATACATAAAAGAAGAAAAAAAAGAAGATGATGAAAATGACCTTGGCTCCCAGGTCGACCCAGCCTTGAGTGTTTACCAGGCACAGTCCTGGGAAGTAAAGGCGACCACATCCCGCACCAAGTGCCGATTGGTCAATAAAAATATGGGTCTAGCCCTGTATGCCCAATACGCCTGAAGGCCTGTAGAAGGGTCCTTTACTATATGCTATTTTATTCATGATCGCAGTCACGTTGTTGTCCGGCTATTGAATGGGTAAAATGAATCAGATCCTAGGAATTAAACGGCTCCTATGAAATATTAACTATATGCTGACTAGCTGACTATATAGTCAGCATAAGAAGAAGAAGAAGACGATATGCTGATTGTAACTATATGCTGACAACTATATGCTAATGTGATTCCAATCGCAATCATGTTGCAATCCCGCCAGTTGAATTGGTAGAATGAGTTAAGTCCAGGAATTGAAGGCCTGCTATGAAATGTTGACCCTAGAACCCACCGAGGTCTGTATCATACATCATACGCCTGATGTATCATTGCTGCGAAAAGGGTCCTTTACTGGGAAAGTTCATTAATATGTCAATAGTTCTTTGGGCAGGGAATTTACCGTTTATTATTGCGCCATTGGCTATAAAGAAAGGGTATCAGTATTACAATGCTTATTTTAACATAGTGTCTGATATTCATTAATGGGTCAGAACATATGTGTACATTTATAATGCTGCAGGGCCTGTAAGCGTTACCTTGGAAGTATTAATAAGCTGGTTGGCGTGACAAGACACCTATCTCCTTTAAGATATCAAAACATATGTGTACATTTATAATGCTGCAGGGCCTGTAAGCGTTACCTTGGAAGTATTAATAAGCTGGTTGGCGTGACAAGACACCTATCTCCTTTAAGATATCAAAACATATGTGTACATTTATAATGCTGCAGGGCCTGTAAGCGTTACCTTGGAAGTATTAATAAGCTGGTTGGCGTGACAAGACACCTATCTCCTTTAAGATATCAAAACATATGTGTACATTTATAATGCTGCAGGGCCTGTAAGCGTTACCTTGGAAGTATTAATAAGCTGGTTGGCGTGACAAGACACCTATCTCCTTTAAGATATCAAAACATATGTGTACATTTATAATGCTGCAGGGCCTGTAAGCGTTACCTTGGAAGTATTAATAAGCTGGTTGGCGTGACAAGACACCTATCTCCTTCAAGATATCAAAACATATGTGTACATTTATAATGCTGCAGGGCCTGTAAGCGTTACCTTGGAAGTACAATAACACCAGGGAGCCGCCGTGGTTTTGCGGCTAGATGCTCGCCTGCGGATGGGAAAGTCGGGGGTTCAGATCCTGACGGAGCCAGGAATTATTTTTTTTAAATAACCTCGGCTTCCATGTCGACCCAGCCTTAAAATGTTACCAGGTGCAGTCCTGGAAAGTAAAGGCTGCCGGCGTGATATTGACCACATGATGATTGGTCAGAAAAAAATATAGGTCTAGACCTAAATGCCATACACTTCTAAAGGCGTCGTTAAAAGTTCTTCAGTTTTACGTTACTTACAATTATAATGAGCTGGTTGGTGTTGTGGGATGTTTATCGCTAATTGTTTTGTCAAAACTCAGGGTTTTTATAGCGACCGGATGTGTAATTGTTATCTTCACATGTTAATGAGCTGGTTGATGTGACAGGGCAGATAACGTTCGTTCATGTCTCAGACAAGTTATGTGCCTGGGCGTATAATAAGCTGGTGGTGTAAACGAACTGGGTGCTTAGATATGTGGTTTCAAGAGAGTATTGCTGGCATTATTCTGTCCTTGAATGTTAGAGTGATGAGCCCTCTGAGTTTTTAAATGAACTGTGTACATTTGTTGTTGCTGTAGTCCTCCCCTACTACTACTACTACTACTACTACTACTGCTGCTGCTGCTGCTGCTGCTGCTGCTGCTGCTGCTGCTACTACGAGTATTACTACTACTGTTACTGCTGCTACTACTGCTGCTGCTTCTCTTACACTACTGCTCTTACTACTACTGCTCTTACTACCATTGCTGTTTCTACTATTCTTACAACTACTTTTACAACAACAAAAACACAGCTGGTACTACAACTTTATGTTCGCCTCTTTCTTCTTCTTCTCTTCACCCTTCTCCTTTTTTTCCTACTGTGCTGCTACTTATATTTATTCTCTACCCCCTCCCCCGCCACCCTTTCTCCGCCCTCTTCATACTACTACTGCTGGTACTTCTACTACTGCTGCTATTATTTATTATTTTTACTGCTACTACTACTTCATTTTGTTTTCTTTCTTCTCCTTTTCATTTTCACCTTTCTCTTCTTAATTACTCCACAACTTATATCCCTCACATTTTTCCTTAATGCAGCACTTGTATGATTATTTTCCTCCACTTCTCCCAAGTTTTTTAGTCAGCAATTATCCGTTCTGAGCCAGAAATTGATTAATGGATCGCCTCTCGGCAGTGCGAAATTTGGTTTGTGGTGGGCCCATGTGGATATTTCTGTAACATATTATTTTTATTATTGATTATGTCTCTTCACGTGTTTCTCTTTCTGTAGCCAGCATTTGCTGGTTAAACTTTTTCTGGAAGAATTTCTTCAACTCTTTCTATGTTAAGGATTTGTTGCCTTAAATAATAACTATTGGGGCTAAAATAGGGAGCCAGCTAAACGCTTGTCTGCAAATCCACTGTTGTGGGCTCAAATCTAAGCATTGACAAACCCCCCCCCCCCCCCCCCCCACTCACCCCCAATTACCTTAGCTCCCAGGTCAAGCCAGCCTTACTTGGGTACCAGGTAAAAGTCCTAGGAAGTAAACGCACCAGTGTGATACTGACCACATCACACACTTATTGCCCATTAGTCTGTAAAATGTAGGTCTAGCCCTATATGCCCACTGCGCCTAGTCTTCTATGCCCAGCACGCCTAAAGGCGTGGAAAAGAGCCCTTTACTAAACTGGCTGAAATAATAACAGTCTTGGGAAGAGAAAGTAAATAGTTTGCATAGAATGTAATATTACAACTGAAAATGCCATAACAACCAACCACTCAACAAACCAACCTCATCCATCCAACCAACCAACAAACCCACCTCATTCATCCAACCAACCAACAAATCCACCTCATTCATCCAAGCAGTCAACAAATCCACCTCATTCATCCAACCAGCCAACAAATCCACCTCATTCATCCAACCAGCCAACAAACCCCCTTATCCATCCATCCAATCAGCCAACAAACCCACCTCATTCATGCAACCAAAGAATCCACCTCATTCATCCAACCAACCAACAAATCCACCTCATCCATCCAACCAGCCAATAAATCAACCTCATCCATCCAACCAGCCAACAAATCCACCTCATCCATCCAACCAGCCAATAAATCAACCTCATTCACCCAACCAACCAACAAATCCACCTCATTTATCCAACCAGCAAACAAACCCACCTCATTCATGCAACCAAAAAGTCCACTTCATTCATCCAACCAACAAACCCAGCACATCCATCCAACAAACAAACCTACTTCGCTAGCACAGGTACGGAGAAACTATGGGGTGCCAGTCAGTTAACTAATCCCAGCCACCCAATCAACAAATCAGCCACATCATTCTCCCAACCAGCCACCCAATCAACGAATCAGCCACAGCATTCTCCCAACCAGCCAGCCAATCGGCTAACACAATCTTGTGAATGTCACAGAACCCATATATGCAACTGTTATGTTTTTGTTTCAGAATACAGAAGGAACTGGCTGAAATCACATTAGACCCGCCCCCAAACTGCAGGCTAGTGATTGTTTGTGTCATTGTTTGTGTCATTGTTTGTGTCATTGTTTGTCTTTAAAGTTCACTTCCAGTGTTGAGGTCAAGGTAGTGCATTACAGAATGCTAACAATTAGATTTAAAATACCTAACAGAAACTGTCCTGCCAGTGTCAGTAGATAACGTAGTTAAAAACCTGACAGCAACTGCCCTGCCAGTGTCAGTAGATATCATAGTTAAAAACCTGACTGAAACTGTCCTGCCAGTGTCAGTAGATAACATAGTTAAAAACTTGACTGAAACTGCCCTGCCAGTGTCAGTAGATAACGTAGTTAAAAACCTGACAAAAACTGTCCTGCCATTGTCAGTAGATAACGTAGTTAAAAACCTGACAGAAACTGTCCTGCCAGTGTCAGTAGATAACGTAGTTAAAAACCTGACAGAAACTGTCCTGCCATTGTCAGTAGATAACGTAGTTAAAAACCTGACAGAAACTGTCCTGCCAGTGTCAGTAGATAACGTAGTTAGAAACCTGACAGAAACTGTCCTGCCATTGTCAGTAGATAACGTAGTTAAAAACCTGACAGAATCTGTCCTGCTATTGTCAGTAGATAACGTAGTTATAAACCTGACTGAAACTGTCCTGCCAGTGTCAGTAGATAAAGTAGTCCCGGGTTAGATGTAGACACACAGAGGAGTTGCTTTATGGAATTGCTTTATAGAATTTGGAGGCTCATGGCATTGTGGAAGTGCATCATACATAGTGATTTTGTACATCACTAAGTTCTTCTTCTTCTGCATTCATCGGAAGATGTAATTGTGTTGTGCTTGTTTACAGCATCGCTGTGATATTTGCACCTTTCGGCCAACACATTGGACTTCTGCAGGCATTTGCTGACCGGGTTAGCCTTCCCAGTTTCGTGGGATATTGCAGTCTCATTGCTGTGTGGTCATCTTTGTTTCCCAGGTCTCAGGTAGTGCCCCACAGCAGGCCAGTCCAGAGAAGCCATGCAACGCTGGTCAGCCCTCAAGAGAAGGCAGGGGCAGAACATGAGCATTACCCACCATCCAAAGAGGCTTCCATAAATGCAGAGCAAATACTTGGTGCTCTGGTACTGGGCTCGCCAAAGGAATGGCCATGTCCTGCTCTTGATTGTTTAACCTCACCTCCGTATATTGAACGTCTCATACATCATAGGCTATGTCTTTTATAGCCAACAGTATTTCGACTACATTTCGAATACCTTAACAAAATGAGTACTTTGCTTCTTTTGCGTGTCAGATTTATTGCACCAAGTGAAGGTGCACAGTACTAGGTGAAGGTGTACTGTATTACTTGGACTCAAAAGTAACATGTACACAGTACTACGTGGAGATACACAGTGCTCAGTGGAGATGTACAGAACTAAGTAGAGATTTACAAAACTAAGTGGAGGTGCACTGTACCAGGTGGTAGTGTGCTGTACTATGCAAATGCACTAATATACTAAGTGCAAATACAAAGTACTCAAGTGCTTGAGTGATGGATTTGTTGATTTTTTTAAAGAAGTCAGCTAACCTGTCTATTAATTCATCCCTTGATTGCCCCCCCCCCCCCTTCCCCCCTTAATCCCAATGTTCTGTGGTGGAATGTTTCAAATACAAGTACAGGATGGTCTGGCTACATTCTCATTAGGTGTCCATTCTTCGTCTTTAAGTGAAATTTAGGCAGAATATTGTTCTAGCCTTCTCTCTAATGCTGGCTGGCATTTGTGGCCCTTTCACTTCTAGAGTTTTTAATGACTTTTCAAAGACAGCACATTTCACATGTAATTATTTTCTTGTCCTGTAATCTGCTCATTGTACATGTTTGGCACTGATAGCATAAATTGGGGATGAAAATGCCGTTAATCATTTGCTGTTTTGCTGGAATGGAAACATCTGATTGTTTGAACAGTGATTGCATTTGTCTTTGGACTCTATCGAGTCTGCTGTCTTCTTTAAATATGCTTCCTAGTTATTTTATTTCCTGTCCTTGTTTGATTGTAGTACCACTGACATAAACATTCATGTTATTATGTTTCCTCCCTGTTCTCATTATCTCAGTATTTGTTATTATATCATACTTTGTGCAGTTATGATACAAGGAGTCAGTATGGTAGGTTCTCTGCTTGTTAGTGTATAATATGCTGATCACCTGCACAAAAGCAGACCATTGATTTACCAGATTACAGGTGTCTATACTTGCCTGCTGTGTAATTTTATTCATATAAGTAATGAAGAGCAATGGTGAGAAAACACATCCTTATCTGACACCTCATCTAATGGGGAACCAATCTGTATTTTGTTCTAACTGTGCACTGTCTTGATGAAGAGTCATGCACAGTTGACCTTGTACCATATTTTTCTAGAATCTCCTATAGTTTACATCTGTTGATTCAGTAAAATGTCTTCTCTTGTCTTCTCTATAAATTTAAGGTGTTGACTGTTATCACATTCAATTGATTTCTCACATACCTGTCTATGTGAATACTGCATCTGTTTGAGCTCTTTCCCTACCTGAAACCAAAATGTCTCTGACTTAATCCAAGGTCTTGTACTAGTCTAGTTCTTAGTTCCAGTATTTGTACAATCACCTTTCCAATAAGGCTGAAACAATCTTGTTTATCTTCTTTATTCCTCCTTATGGGAACAGTAATTTATCTCTGCCAAACCTTGTCTCCTGAATAATGTTCGAGTCTGGTCAACTGTGTCATTGATCTTGTTTTACATACATGGGGCATTTCTGTTTTAATACCATCTGTTCCTGCCACCTTGTTCGGTTTTTGTTTTTTTAAAAACTTTTGTAAGGGCCATTTTGACTTCTGATTCCAGTATATCAGGTCCACTGTCTTTTCCAGATTTACTTGGTCAGAAATTGTATCCTATCATCTACAGTTTAACAGTTTATTAAAATATTCTTTTCATCTGTTTTTGGTATCTTGACTGCTTTTTAGTGGTTTCCTAATTTGGTTGATAATTACCGGTAGTGCCGTGTGCAGTATTGCAGTGCAACTGCCTGTCTGATGTAATTACTGCTTCCATCGATGCTGTACTGCAATTGTAGTGGCAGACTTTTTGACTTGGCACCTCTGATGGCTGCCTTATGTATTTAATTCTTGCGTATGCTGTTGGCATTGCTGAAACTGCAGTCTGTTTCAGTCCTTTTTTTCTTCCACAATGAACAGGATTGGACGTGAAATGGTTTTCACTGGCACAGAGAAGGAGAAACTATGAGGTGTCCATTTGCCATGAAACTAGAATATAGATTAACTGTTTAGAATAGTGGATGGATTACATTTTTCATCTCTGTATGCCTCTGAAACTTGCTTGATGACTGGGTGCATATTTTTTCTGACCAAGTCTCCATAGTTGGCCCAAGATTATGATGTTGTCACTGTCACTTTTGTCCTGCTTTTCTGTGTTTTTTTTGTAACGTATAGAAGCATGTTTTCTTCTCTTGATAATTCCACCACACACTATTTTGTCTTTTTTATATTGTCCTTCATTTGTCTTAATATTCACCATTCATAAACTCTAGCAGAAAATACTGGTTGTTCATCCACTTCAGAACTTGAGTTTTATGTGCAATCCATTTTACAGATCAGCGGCATCTGTGGCGTAGGCGTTGCGAGTCCGACTCGTAATTCCAACGTACCGCGATCGAAACCCACTGCTGGCTGCATAGATTTTTATCATGGTATGGGGCGTCGCAGGTCGACCCAGCCTAAAATGGGTACCAGGATGGCTGTCCTGGGGAAGTAAAGATGGCCGGCATAATGCTGACCACATTACCCACCTAGTGCTGATTGCTCTTCCCATATGATCTGGCTCATTTGTATGTAGGCTGTTGCTTCTTCGCCTTACAAGACAGATACACTCCGTCTTCAAATAAAACCAACCCCCCCCCCCCAGATGGGATTCACAGAAACCACACATGTGGTTTTCTGTAAATGCCCATCTCTTTTATCCTTGTGTTAGTATACATCACTGGGCTCTCTCTTGCATTATATCTTTCTCTGCTGTGTGTCTCTGCATGACTCAGCTGAGTTTATGTTTAAAGCCTCTTTTATTTTTGTGCTAGTACAGTCACCCAGTCCTCTCTCCTGTTTATTATGCCTTTCTCTGCTGTCTTCTGTCCCTGCATGTCCTAGTTAAATCCTTTGTTCAAAATAATTGGAAAGGTAAGCACCCATCACTCAGCCGTGTCCCTTTCTCTGCTGTCTTTCTCTACATGTCCCAGCCTGGAGCTTGTGTTTAAAATCAACTTTTATCCATTATGTTTTCAGTGCAGGACCAAAGGGAGATAATTTATATGAATGGGCATCAACAATACTGGGACCAACCGGAAGTGTTTATGAGGGCGGTGTCTTCTTTCTAGATATCCATTTCACATCAGAGTACCCTTTCAAACCACCCAAGGTGAGCAGTACTGTCAGTGTCTCATTTTGAACACTCAGTGATAAGTTGCTCTTTTAGTTTACCTTATTAAACGACCAACCCTAGGAAGTCAAGGTGGCCGGCATGATGCTGAACACATCACCCAACAAGTGCTAGGAATAAAGGTCGTCTACATGTGGGGTGTAATTTTTTGTTCCTGGCTTCTGCCGGGGGCCTTCAGTATGGTCTAGCCATAAATATGACCTAAAGGGTTTATGAGACACGTGTCATGATTGTAACTGACTTACAAAGCATGTTGAGAAAGCTGGAGACAAGTGTGCTTCTGGCAGAGTGGCAAGCATTGCTTCAGAGGTCCTGGGTTGACAACATTCTTTGGATATTTTCTCCAAGGATGCAGGTGTATTGGGAAATGAAAAGGCAGACAGACTGGCTGTTTCTGCACCATTTGGTGCTAAATTGATGCTTGACTGTCTAGATGTGGGGTCCTCAGGGAGTGAGTGAACAGGCATAAATGGATCATCGTGGTCTGAAGAGAATGGTGCAACAGGGAGTCACCAAGGGATCTGCTTACCAATACACAACACTAAAAAGAAAGGCAAGAAAAACAGACCAGTATCGGAACTCTGCAGTGGCTGTTGAAGATGGGGACTGAGCACTTATGGGAATGTTCTGAGTACTGTGATGTTGGTTCTAAACTCAGCTCAACACACATCTTGGTTCCTGAATTACTTTGGTCATATTAATGATGTCTCAGTTACTTGGTCATATTAATGATGTCTCAGTTACTTGGTCATATTAATGATGTCTCAGTTACTTGGTCATATTAATGATGTCTCAGTTACTTGGTCATATTAATGATGTCTCAGTTACTTGGTCATATTAATGATGTCTCAGTTACTTGGTCATATTAATGATGTCTCAGTTACTTGGTCATATTAATGATGTCTCAGTTACTTGGTCATATTAATGATGTCTCAGTTACTTGGTCATATTAATGATGTCTCAGTTACTTGGTCATATTAATGATGTCTCAGTTACTTGGTCATATTAATGATGTCTCAGTTACTTGGTCTTTTTCAACTGGTCATAAAGATTCCTGCCAGTACTGGGACTTGAATGCAGATCCATTATCTTGGTTAGCTTGCACACTGACCTCTGTGTTTCCTCATCTACATTTGCTATTGTTTCCAGGTGACATTCAGAACACGGATCTACCACTGCAATATCAACAGTCAAGGAGCAATATGCTTGGATATTCTCAAAGACAACTGGAGTCCAGCTCTCACTATATCTAAGGTTTGTGTCTGTTAAGTGATCCCTCATCATCATCATCCTCTCATGCCATTATGTGTCACATAGGGCTCACAATCTAGTCCTCAATGCCATTTCTTTCCTGGGTATCTTCTTAGGTAAGTGTGGGAAATCCACTATATAAATCTCTGCCCTTGGATATTCTTAAACTATGATACAGCTCTTGTCACATCCTAGGTTTGTAGACTGAGTTTGTCATCTCCAAGTAGTGGATCTCCAACATACCTGTCATTTGTATTGGTTGTTTAAACTCTTGAGACTGCTGTTCACCTACCTCTTTTATGTTATCTTCCCACTATCTGCCGTTTGCTCAGCTGCCTTCAACTTTCCCCTCTAGTATGATTTTTATACATATGCTATATCTTTTAATATGGTTGATTTATTTAACTTCTATTTAAGCCTATGCTTACAGCAGTTCTGTTGGTTGTCATTCCCAGTCTCTTTGGACCTGTTTTAGTTTCCATTCTTTTGTAGATCCACATCTCCTTGACTCAAGTTATCATCATGCATCCCCACAGATCTGTGTCCCTTCTTATCTGGATCAGTTCCACCCATGTGACCGTCGCAGTCCATCCGTCATCTCTTGGACTGTCATCTCTTGGACTGTCATCTCTCCTGACTCAAGTAGATAATCTAATTGCTTGTTCATTGCCCCGTCTCTGCCACACAGTATTGTTGAGAACACATGGCATTCTCATTTTTAATGTTTCCAGATACTGCAAGATCGATAGTCGGTCAAGCAGGTCCCTCACAGAACAACAGTCTTCATTCACGGTACGCCCGGCCTCCCTCTAGCCAACTCTCCAGCCTTGTGTGTTTTCATATGCTTCTTTGATGTCTAATATCCACCTTTATGAAGATCACTCTATGCCTCACTTTCCAAAAACTGCATCCATTGTCGCCATTCTCTCTATACCACCGTGGCACAAAACATGGCCAAAACACCTCAGCTTTCAGGACAGGATACTTCTCGTTGATGTTGATGTTTTTTTTTTTCTTGATCCAGAGAGTATTCTGAGAATTTTCTGTAGCCTTTCAGTTCAAAATCACCAACCAAAGAATTGAAGTCATTGACTCATGCCTACCTGTTAGTTAATGTGAGATCATCAACTAGAAATCTGTTTTCGGTACCATAAGCTGCATTAAGTATATGGTATTAGCTTCCATGAGTCATGTCCTGGTCAAATAGTCTCAGCTACCATTTAAGAGTAGTCTGTATTAATTGTTTCTCTGTTAATTTGGTCAGATAGGACTGAGCTACCATATAACAGTAGTCTGGACTGCCTGTTTCTCTGTTAATGTTGTCAGATTTGACAGGTACTACCTTCATGCTGAATGTTCTGCAGCATTATACTAAACCTGACATATAGTCATGCCAACAGCTTCAAGCGGAGGAGTTCCTTGGCAAGGATGCTGGTCTTATCGTAGAACCCAAAAATACTATGTCAGAGCAAACCAGGGCCTTATAACCCCGGTGGCTGGTCTAGGATGGAAGCTCCCACACTCGGACAGACGGCACTGCTCTTCTGATTCAGCAGCTTCTGCAGCATGCTTTGTTTCAAATGTACCTTGTCTTTAGAATTAACCAACCAGACCAAGTGAGGAATCCTGCTGCATAAACATCCTACAGTACTGCCCAATCTTTTTTGGTACACAGATAAGAAACTTCCTCCCTGGTCACCATGGGCTATGATGGCCATGTTCCTTTATAGCACAATGGAGTACCACCATCCCTCTGGAAAGACAGGAAGATGCCACCAAACAAACCCCCTATTATCTGTACCTTTTGTGTGATACGTTCAGCATTATACTGGCTACTTTTACTGACATAAACATATCCTGGTGCTTGTTTGTTTACACTGGGTTCGGCCTGGGAGCCAATTTTAAAGAAAGTATCCACTTCTCAAGGATATGAAGACATTACCAGGCCAGCAGCTACTGTGCCACCTACAAACTGAACTTCCGTCTGTTTGTATGTTCTGTTTTGTTTTTAAACTTTCTCTAGATTAGTTAGTTTATGTGTTCAACAGTCTCCCTAAATTAGTTTATGTTCTGTGTCAAAATTAGTTTTAATATCTTCTTTATGTAAAAAAAAAAAAAAAATCTAAATTAATTTAATGTTTTGTTTTTAAAAAAGTGTTATATGTTTGTGATAAGTAAAATCTTGTATAGATAGGTAAATGAGACTACATAAATTCTAACAAATGCTAGCTAATGAACTGAAAATTCTAGTTTGTGTTAAATAAATTTGTGCTTCCCAGGGATTGATAATATATCCCTGCGGGGACATGATTTTGTTATTCTTTTTTCTACTACGTTCATCCTAAAATTGTTTGTGCCTTTCGACCGACTTCTGCAAGCAGTTATTGTCTGGGTTAGCTTCCTGGTAATTTTGTTTATGTTAAAGGAGTGTTCTTCTTAAGCAAATCATCAGCAGGTTTAGTGTTGTTGATTCTGATGATTGTTTATGACTGTTTTCATCCCAGGTCCTTCTGTCTGTGTGTTCCCTGCTGACAGACTGCAACCCTGCAGATCCCCTGGTGGGAAGCATAGCAACACAATACCTGCAAAACCGCAAGGAGCACGACCGGGTGGCTCGCATGTGGACCAAGAGATTTGCTGCTGGCTTAAGCAGTTAGCTTTATAGTTGTGATGGATGTGACAACTGTAGCTTTGAGAAGTGTGACAGGTGTAGCTTTATATACCTGAGAAGTGTGAAAGCTATAGCTTTATATATCTGAAAAGTGTGACAGGTGTAGCTTGATTTGCTTGACAGCTAGATTGAGTGCTTACGCGATGGTGTGATAGTAAAAGAGATGTAACTGATGCACAGCGTTCTGAACATGAGAGAGGGACAATTTTGACAAGGGAAGATTTATATAGACTATCTGAGGGGGTTCTGTCTCCATAGCTGAGGCACCACAGTGTGACTTTTGTGGAAGCCACAAGAATGGTCTTATTAGAGATAAGCAGTGACAGAGTGGGGAAAATATGATCAATGAAGTTCAATAGGGAGATTTGTATTTTCCAGACTATCGTCTAGCTGTCAGAACAGTGACAGGAATTTCTGGCAAGGGAGCTGTCTAGTTATGAAAATAGTAACAGGATTAGGGCTGTTTGATTGGTGGGCCGCAGGCCTAGCAAGAGGCTAGTGCATCATAGATTATTAATGATCCAAGGCTGGAGCTCTGGCCCGTTTTCAAAATGTTTGAATAGCCCTGGTCTAGATTTGACGAACAAAGAGGCAGGGTGTGTAGCTATCTAATTTCAAATTTAACAACTATCTAGTTGTTTAAACAGTGTATGGAAAACATTGGGTTTGCAGTCTTTTTATCCTTTGAGCACAAAGTTATTATAGATGTATAAAAGGTACCTAGATTTTGGAAAAACATGATTACATAAAACAGTTTTAGGAAACTCATCACTGACAAAATTCTCATTCATATTCGTATTCATTGTCTGTCATTACCACCCAACCCTCTTAACATCTAGTAGTTCACTTGGTACATCAGGGGATTAAAGCGGGACTTTGTCCACATTTGCATTCTGTCCCAACACAAATTTCTTCTTGCTTCATGCACACAGGAATTCTGACTGCTCTTTGACCTTTTTTTTTCCTCTGGCATGCGGGTCTCACGTAGGTGTAACCTGGGATTGTTTTCTTAGTTGGGGGAAAAACCAAATTTAGGTTCAGCAGCACTAAAAGCTCTATATAAAAAAAATAAGAAGTAACCTTCTCTGTCAGTGATTTTCTCAACATACTTGTTCTTTTTTTTCTGTGCTGCAACTTTGCTGTTAAAAACAATCTTTATTGTTCAAGGGAGGCAGGACTTACGAGATTTGACAGGATGACAGCAATGTAAGACATGATGTTATTGACAAATTATTGTGTGAAATGGGTTGGAAGTTCAGTTTCTTGGAAATAATGTAAAAAATATTCATGGAATCTTTGTGAAAATATAATTTTCATTTTACGCCAGTCCATTTGCATATATGTTTTGTATATGTAGTAGTGGAGATATTTATAAAACTTTTTTTTTTTTTTTTTTTTAAATTATCTATCATTGTGGTCACCGCTCTCTGATTATGTCTGGACAACACTGTCTAGTATAGTCAAGGGCTAAAAGCCAACCCAGAAAACCAGTATTGATCATTTTTTTAAACAGCTATCAGTAAAAATACTGACACTTTAAATGAGTAAAAGGCATAGAATAAGTTTTGATGAAAAACATGAATTTTGCCTTATTCATTTCAAGTGTGATGCACGCATTCCTTACAAACCCTGTCTGAGGCCCCACCTGCAACTTCATAAGAAGAATATCTGACATTGTTTGATGATGATCCCAGCAATTCAGGTCAGCCTGTTTGGTGTGCATTATCATGTGTCAGCAAGAATTTCCCACAGCTGCACAAATAGATATCTAGGCCACATGTGTACGCAGGCTGGTTGTCACCTAACATGATGATCCGTTGTGGAAAGATGAAATCGACGTTCGATGTTGTGCTGAAGAAATGGGATCCTGCACAGAAATCCTTACATGTTTTTTTTTTTTTTAAACAAATTTTTTTTTCCTGCAATTAGGTGACTCTGGGACAATGTCTAAGATTATTAATGATTTCTTTGGCCACATAATGAGAAGAGAGACATAGTGACAACTGTGGGGAAAAAGGGGTAGAGGCAGACCAAGAGAGATGATGCTGGATGGGCTAAAACGATGGCATAGAGGGATATCATCCAGTCAACCAGGGATCGTGATCTGTGGAGACGCATGAGCGCCTACGCCAGTTGGCAGGGCACATGATGATGATGATGAGAAGAGAGGACATGTAACAAGTAAATACCATGCCTGGTGAAGCTGTTTTTCCCCGCAGTGAAGTTTAAATTTATACAGCATGGGGAAACAGTTACCAAGAAAAAGCATGAGTGAACTCAGCCACATTACAACAAAATTGTTCATTTTGCGCTTCAGTCTTTAAAATGAACACATCCTGATGATTAGGATAATAAAATGATTCTTGTAAAAAAAAAAAAAAAACCTGTGTTTTGTGTGTGTGTGTATGTGTAGTCACTTTAAAGAGAAAACAAGTAGATGACTTTTTCCCACACCTACAGCACTTAGTGGGTGTTGTGGTTAGCATCACACCGGCCGCCATTACTTCCCAGGACTGGTACCCACTCAAGGCTGGGTCAATGGGTTGGGGGGGGGGGGTCAGATAGCGCTAGGACCCGAACCGATGACCTGTCTCATATAGTTAAGTCTAACATAAAAACTGAGAAATACATAAGTCACAATGATATTGGTGTCACTGAAACACAGAGGTAGGAAGACCAACACACTTTCATAGAGTTAATTATCAGACTTATGTCCTGTAAGTGCTATATAGAAAAATCTAAACAAAGAAACCCAAAATATCAGACACACACAAATCAGAGAGTTATTAACTACAGAAAAAAAAAACTAACAAAATAAAAATCAGAAACAGCAAAATATCAAAGAAAAACTAAATATTTATCTAACAAACATCAGAGAGTAACTAACTAGGTTAGTTAGGTATCCTTTACAGGACATTGCAGAACCAACGTGTGATTTTTCTAGGCAAATTTACGTCCAGTAGTTTGCCTTTGCTGTCTGGACGGTCTGCTTTCTTGATACCACTGTCGAAACCAACGCAAGGCGCATGGCCCGCAGCTGGGATCGAACCCGGCATTACGAAGCGTTTGCATCGACTTTGCATATACTTTCCATTTTTATGTTTTCTAGTGGATCTTTCTTTGAGTGCCCATCGATACACTAAACAGCTTACAGAATTTATGAATATGATATGTGTATTTAAAATGTTAGTAAGTTTAGAAGAAGAAAAAAAAGAGAGAAATCTGAAATCACTTTGTATTCTTCACACACCAAACACTCCAATAAAAATATGTCACAGACAGATGTTTTATGTTTTCAGTGAAAACTCAACTCATTTCATGTATCACTCTAGTCGCATATTTTGTTGAAATTACAATTTCACAATAAATTACACTTTACCGTGGTAAACACGATGGCAATTGATAATTCACAGAAAAAAGACAAAATATTTGTAAACAAATGTTAAGTAATAGCCACTTTACACACAACAGCCACATACAGTCTCACTTTACACAAAAATATTAATACACATGTGCATGTGATTGGCATACAAAATACTTGAAGAACCATGAGAGTAAATGATACTTTATATACAAAAATACTTCTGACAGAAATACACTGGCAAATATCATTTCAGACAAAATGACTTGCAGCTAAATGACACTTCACTCATATCTAAGTAATATATTAAACTTAGACAAACAATAACATATATATTAAATTATAGGAATACGTCTGGCTGGCCTACTAAAGAACACTAGAACTGACTGAATAAATAAAGACTATAACTGAAGGCTTAGAATACCTTGGACAGCCAAAAAGAGCAACCAAGAGGTTTTGAAAGAGGCGGGAGCCTGAAGACAACTTATCACAGACATCAGAAGGAGACAGTCATCATTTTTCGGCCATGTTATGAGAAGAGGGAAAATAGAACATGTTGTGGCCACTGGAAAGATCTGTGGAAGGAGGGATAGAGAAAGACAACGAGAGAAGATGCTTGACAGTCTTGTTGCATGGCATGGAGGTGTGTCGGCACACGAACTGATTCATGATGCAGGAGATCGTGGATTATGGAGAGGCATGAACGCCCACGCCAGTCGGCAAGGCACATGATGATGATGATAACTGACTGAATAAATAGAGACATAAATTAAATGTTACACACTAATAGGCTGGGAGTCGCCGTGGTGTAGCGGCTTAACGCTCGCCTGCATATTGGAAGGTCATGGGTTCGCTTCCTGGCGAAGCCGGACTTAAAAAAAAAAAAAGACTCCCAGGTCGACCCAGCCTTGAGTGGGTGCCAGGTGCAGTCCTGGGAAGTAAAGGCGGCCAGCGTGAGGCTGACCACATAACCCATCCTGTGCCGTTGGTCTATAAAATATAGGTCTAGCCCTATATACCCCACACCCCTGAAAGGTGTGGAAAAGTGTCCTTGACACTAAAGGCTGGTAGTAAACAATGGTAGCATTATGACACTTCAGTGCTGTAACAAGTACAGACAGGTAAATGAGACTTTACATAAATTCTGATAGTAAACTGCTAGCTAAATAAAACGTGACCAAAATTTTCTGTAGTAAACTTTGTTGGCCAAACAGTCTTCTCGTTATCCCAGCTGAGACAGTATAAAACAAATGTATGTAGTAAATTTAGCTAGCTAAATAAATTCTTTACTATAAATAATGAACATATGCAGTAAACTTTTATTACATAATATACTTGATATGTTTACAGTAAACAATTAACTAGCCACTTAGTTAAATAAAAATACATTTTAGTAGTAAACTTTGCTAGCACTTTACCTGATATACCATATCAATTAACAGTAAACTGCTGGCTAAATAACACTTCATATGATATACCATATCAATGTGCTCGTAACGTGTAAGCACAGACAGACCAACCTGGTAGCTAAATAACACTTTTTTAATCTGACATACCATAAACATCTATAGTAAAATGAAGCTAAATTAACACTTTATCTGACATACCATAAACATCTATAGTAA